TTTATGTATTTCTATACTTAGTATAAGTATTCAAGTTCAGATAACAAGTAGATACATTTATGATTTAAGTTTTACCAAAGTCAACTGTTGAAAACAATTTTTGTAGTTTGAACTACTTCTAAAGAACATGACTTTTCACTTTTGGAAAAGGAGGACCAAATTGACAGTTGTAAAATGTAATTTTTCATTTTGGATAAATGTCCCTGATGTTGTAGAAATGGCCTGGACTAGTGAAATTCACAATAGGGAGCTGTGATCTAATCTTGGCTTTTTTAAAAAATCAAAATCTTGGCTTTAATCAAGTGACTTAATTTTGACAATAGTTGTATTTTGTGTTGTGAAGACCAAATGAAATAGTGGCTACCATAGTAATAATAATGTGCAATAGTAGTAATAAACACCTATCAGGTGTGGAGTATCAGTGAGGTGATGGATACTATTTTCCATAGTTTATATCATGTTTAATGTTCTCTTTAGGGGAAATGAGGCTCAACATTTCATAACACATAAGGTACATTGTCATCTGGATGATTAATTCCAGACAAAGACACTGTTAGGAGGGATATGCTAAGAGACCACTTTCAGAGCTCAGCCTAGAGACTAGGAATGTTTAAATCAGCAAATTTTCATACTATAGCATATAACAATCAGCTGGGAGGGGTTGGTGGAATACAGATTGCGGTGCTCTATCTCTAGAGTTTCTGACTAGTTCTTTGTGAGGTCTGAAAATCAGGCTGCTGCTAGTGTGAATACCACAGATTACTACAGTCTAAATTCAACATTGTGGGATTGAAATGCAAAAACAGGCCCAATTTGAGAGCTATTTGGGAGTCATTCTCAATCTATCCCTGTGATAGTTGCAGTTGTAACTATTTGAACATTATTTTCCATCAGATGCTGTACTAAATCCTTTTGTGCATTACCTTCTCCCACCTCCACCACATATAATCTTCACAAGCCTCTGAGGAAAAAAAATAGTATTCACTCCCTTTTACAGTTAAGGAAATGGATGTTCAGATTAGCTCATTTCCTATGATTTGCATGGTAATGAATGTCTAGTTCTATAGTTGTGCTTTTGTTACCACTATGTTAGAGTCAATCCAAAAATTCCTTTTAGGTCTGTCTTTTTTGTTTTCTCTGATACTGCTTAGGTTAGTTCTTGGACTTTCCCTAGTAAAGCTTCTTAGAAGATCCCCCTACCTCATATCTGATGCCACCTAATCTCTTTCACACTGCTTACAGTTTTCATTCTTAAAAATAGGCTATATTGTGCTACTCCCTGCTTTAAAATTGATTTTTATTTTCCAGCTCTTCTGCCCATTTGTCTTCAAAGTACAATGGACCCTCAAATTACAACTGGCCTGACATACGAACAACTTGGATTCATTAGGTTAGTGGAAGATTATCTGCCTCTTGTTACCTATAGCATGTACCCAGGTAAACATCCAGATCTCAGCTATATTGACTTACAACCAGCTGGAATTACAACCAGCCCTCAAGAACCAATTGAATTCCTAAGTCAAGGGTCCACTGTAATAATCTAGTCCCCTTAAATTGGCATAAAAGACCACAATAAAGTTTGATCTGCCAATCCTGCTTCGTCTGTCTCCTTTCCTATTTGTACTTCATGCCTCAGTTGTACTAAACTGTCTGTATTTCTGCAAATTCCATGCTTTTTCCTGTGCCTCTTTATCAAAATACCTTTCAAGTCTGTGTCCTCCACCATATCTGTGATGAAATCATATTTTTATTTTTCATTAGCTCAGTTGTCATCTTTCTATCTTCCTTGTAAACCTCCCCCCATTATGGCTATCCCTAGGTTATAGTAATGCTCAAACACTGCTTGAGTTGAAAATGAATTTATAGAATCTGGCAGCCAGTTGGGTGTGGATGATACTTGTATTGCAATGAATGACAGTTCAGTAATTTACTTCAATGAACCATATATAAAGCAAAAGGATTTATATAGTTATAAAATATAACCTATTGATACATGAATAATATTGGCAATAGATGGAGTATTTTACAGAGGAATTTGGAAAAGTAGAGGTTTTTTTGATTTTTAAAATATGACAAATATTCCTGTGAAGGACTGTGTATAGTGCTAAGGAACTGTGATTTTTTATTTCCTTCTACTTCATTAAAATTATGAATCTGAACAACCAAAATCCTCAGTTCCTTCTTAGCATGAGTAAGTTGAACTTACTAAACAAATTTTCAATTTAAAAACATGAGTTTTATTGTCTTATGGTTCTATCTCTATTCTACAACTTTGAAAAACAATTTTGACTTACAGATTAGAACGAGGGAGCTGCAACACGTAATTACTAGAACATTTGGAAAAGCCATGTTTTACCCAGGTACAGTTACACATTGTGTATAATGCCTTTATATATGTTTCAGTGTTTTCTTTTTTTTTGGTACCAGGGATCAAACTCGGGTTCTTGCGCTTGCACAGCAGGTGGCGAAACCACTGAGCTAAATCTCCGGCCCTGCCTTTATATATGTTTCGACATCTTCACGTATAAATAAAAATAATGTTCATGTGCGTTCGAAGGAAGTGGACAATTGAAGGCTGCATATGTATGTACCAGCTAAATTACATAGTTCCCAATTTGCAAAGATCTGGCAAGCGCCTCCATGATAAGGATCTCTGAATAGCCTGTCAAACTGAGATCCATTTGTAAAGCAATGAGACATGTTAATGTTTTTGCTTGAAAACATTCATCAGACCAGCAGCAAATATTACTGCTACATAATTAGATCGTTTACATTTTTAAGATAACAGTCTTTTAAGGAAAAGAGGGATAAGTGATAGATTAAGGAAAACAACCTTGAGATTTTTTTCAATAACCTTTGGAAGACGAAGCTCACAAACAAGAACTGCACTTTCAGGTGAAAATGAGCTCTCAGGGTAATGTATTTGGTCACCTCAGTGGCATGGCCTGAATTGCTTCAGTTTTATACACTTGGCAGAAGAGATCCTTTTGGAGGCTAATATGGCAGTGTGCTTATTTCTTGTTTAAAAAAGATAAACTGCACATTTTATCTTTTACATATATGTTAGAACATGTTTAAATACAGTGTTCTAAGAAAGAATCAAGCATGTAGAGACTCATTTTTTAAAGAATGAAATAAACATAAAGTTCAGTTAAGCAGTAATTGAACAAGTTGAAATTAGAGGAGAGGTGTTTATTAGTGTTTAGTCCAACATTTCCTAAGCTATTCTTAGGACATTAGCATGCTGTACAATATTGAGAGAAACTCTAAGGAGTGGGATAGGCTGAGAATGCTCCATGATTAAATAAAGTTGTGAATATGCTGCATATTTTTCCTCAGTTTTCTCAAGAATTTAGGAGACTATTGAAACTGGCCAAAGAGTTGGAAGGGTAGGGCAAGTTGATGCCAATATATCTTTCACCTTGTGTTAATATTTTGTCATATTATTTTTTCCTTGCTATCTCCCCTTTTATGTACACAAGCTATTTTTTCTAAACCACTTAATTCCACATATCATGACACTTGACTGCTAAATAATTTTGTGACTTCCTAGAAATAAAATTGTCTTTTATACAGTAATTGTAATACCTTTATCACACCCTCAGAATTAAATATTGATATAGGAATATCTAATATACAATAAGTTTTCCAAATTGCCTCATATAATGGTTTTATAACTTGTTTTTTCCCCAACCCAGGACCCAGTCAAGGCTCTTGTATTCAAAGTATGTATTGGGATTTTGTAAGATGTTAGTGTTCTTTAGAATACAGTTTGAGAAAAAACTTGAGTGTAGGTTTAAATCTATCTTTTTGTAATTTACAAATGCAATTTTACAAATTTTAAAATGTTTTCCTTTTTTAGGGGAAACTGTTGACTGTGTGCTTTATCTTTTGTATTCTCAGTTATGCTTGCAGGGTGTCTTAGTCACTTTCCTTGTGGCTGAGATACAATACCCAACACCCTGAACTTAAAGGAGGGCAGAAAGAGCATGGTAGAGAATAGCTGCTCACATCATGGAGGTCAGAAAGCAGAGAGAGGAGCGAGAGCCAAGGGCGTGAGATGCCCCCAGTGACCCACCTCTGTCCTCCTTAGCAGCATGTCAGCTGTGAACCTCTCAGTGGACCAATCTACGCATCATATAGTGCCTAGTCACCTTCCAAACACGTGAGACTGGGGGCCACTTTTCACATCCCAACCATAACAGGAAAACCTGAATAACTTGACAAAATAGCAAATAATATTTACAAAAACTTAACTTTGAGTATGTCTTGAAATTTTAATATATATTGTCAATGGAATACAAACCCAAGATAGATTTTTTTAATGATATTTCTAATTATATGTTTTCTTATAAATTCCAAGCTCAAGAAAATTGAAGAGGTATTTTTTTTCCTGTCTTGTGTGTGTGTGTGTGTGTGTGTGTGTGTGTGTGTGTGTGTGAATAAATACGAGTTTTAGGGCAAGGAAATGAAATGGTGAAAATAGCATTCATTTCAGGGCTTAAAAAAATATTGTAAAGGAATGTGTGACTTTAAGTAAAAAAGGAACACGTATGGTCCAAAGAACCATCATAATTGACAAATGTGCTAGTAATCATTTAATAGAAAACAAACTTTATTACACAAAATTCCATGACAAATAATGCTTAACACATGTTTGGAAATAATCCCAGACCAAATCCCAGGGCCACTGTGATTTAGGGAGTGTGGTAAAATTTGCAACTCTGTGGCATTCTAGTCCTTATTTGTAGCTAAACTGGGACATCATTCCCAATTTCTTCAGCAAAGACAGTAGAGTCATTTAAATTGTCCACTGGTAATTGGTTTTTCTTGATAGAAAATGGAAAAAATTGAGCATGAATATTTTTTACTCATCTGGGATAAACATTACTATGTCTGGTTTCCATGTGGAGGTTTCTTTACTGATGTCTGTCATTACTCATAGTTTTATTAATTATATTTATAGTCCTTAATTAATATTAAGTACTTAATTATAGTACTTAATAATGGTAGGAATTTGGGGAAATTCTATTTTTACCCACAGCAGTTGAAGGATCATTACTATCCCCCACCCCCAAAGAAAGCCTCCTCCAGAATCATTTTAATAACTAGATAGCTTGCCTTCTAAGTACCCATAGCCCTTCTTCAACTTCCACCTATATGCCACACACAGGCAAACGTCTGTTTCATCCCAGCCATTCCCCCTTTTGTGTGTACCACACACATATACTGAATAGCCCACTAAATGTTTCCATTTGAGTATCCTGTGAAGACCTCAAATCTCTACATGTCCAAAAACCCATTTATCTTTATCCCTGTATAGCAAATACATATGCTCTTAGCAAACTGCTTAAACTCTACAAGACTTAGTTTCCTCTTTTGTAACATAGATATAATTACATAATTAAATACATAGATGTATTTACATCATTATATTGTTGTGAAGACTACACAAGCTAATTTATGTAAAACTCCTTTAACTTTGTTCTCATTGTCATATTAATTACTCTTTTCACATCAGTCTGCAAGTTGAGCTTTTCAAAACTTTTCTTTCCTTCACTGTTATCACCATTTTTTAAAAAAATGTTGGTCTACAACACAGTTCATCCTGGCCATTTTTGATGTAAGGAACATCCCAATGACTGGATATTTTTGGCAAGCCCATACATTTTATTTCTAACAACTTTATATTTAGAAAACTCATTTTTACTTGCAAATGTGGAAAATCACCTACAGTGGGTCCAAGAACATAGCTATTATAACTTTTTGCTTTTTTTCTCTCTATATTACTGGTATTATTCTCATTAGATTCTTAAGCCCATCAAGGGATGATTAAATATAAATTATATACTCTACCCTTTGATGTTCTGGGAAAAATGAATATTTCTACCATCAATATTTTTATTTCACATAAAATTGTTATATATTATAGTTAATATCATTAGTTCAACTTGACTGTCAGGTCTAAGTGAAGATTTGAATTTCAGATAAAATTTGATTTTCATCAGTATCTTTTCCTTTTGCAGATAATGAGCCCTTTATTTGCTTATAGCTTATAGCTATATGAATACATAAAAGAATGATTGCTTAGGTAAAGAACTCAGTAAATTGGCTGATGATTAATTTACAAAGAATATTTTACAGTTAATGTAAGTGTGGACATAGGCAGGCAATTGCTTCTTAATCTGCTTAATATGTCAGTAATAAAGTTTTGTAGGTTAGTTCAGAGAGACTATCCTCTGCATTGGTAAAATTTTAAGACTTAAGTCTCGGGTCAGGGATGTAGCTCAGTGGCACCATACTGGCCTGGCAAGTGTAAGGTCCTGAGTTTGATTCCTGGTACTAGAAAAAAGTCTCTATGCTTTTCACAGTTGAATTAAGCAAAGCTGAGTAATTTTGTATATATGCCTCACATTTATATGCTCCATGTATATAGACCATATTTATTGGATAACACTCATACTTAATTCATTGCTCATAATTTTTCTTTGAGCTCCAGGAATATGACCAATGATTAATTTCCTGTTTTTAAGGGCAAACCAAAAACATGCAGAGGCTAATAATGACTAACCTCAGAGGATAGGAACTAAATCTGTCTCTGATGCATCTTCAACTTTCCTTATTTTACCACTCCATTTTATGCCCTTCTGAAGTTTTTAATCAACTCAAAACAATACTTTCTTTATAGAAAAATAGAATTTTCAATCAAGGATAAGTATGGCAACTGTGATCTCAGAACAACCCAATGAACTCTCAAAGACTGTTTATCAATGGGAGAAGCCAGGTTTGCCTAACCAGACTAGGTTTGTGTCAAAATTGAAAACCCAACCCAAGCCAGCCAGATGATGTGACCCTTTTTCCTTCTAGTTTAGGGAATTTGTATTGTGTATGAGTATTGTCTTTTTCCATCCAAAGATATTGTTCATAATAAAAAGTACAAAATTTTAAAGAAAATATTCCAGATGGGATAATTAAGATCCTAGAGATAGGCTCTGAATAAGAAACAAGGAAAACTTTAGTCACTTTAAACAATTTTCCAAGCTGGGCATGGTGGCACACCCCTGTCATCCGAGCACTTGAGAGAGGCTGAGGCAGGAGGATCATGAGTTCAAGGCCAGCCTGGGCTGTGTAGTGAGTTCAAGGCTAGCTTGAACTACATAGCGAGACCTTATCTCACAAAATTTTTTAAAAAAACAACACAATTTTCCAGTAGCAGTCACAAATTATAAAAATATAGTTTTACAAATCACATTTTATAGTACTAGAGTGAATTCATCTTTTGTTTGGGTAATCAATTCGGTGGGCCTTTGAATTATGTAAAGACAGTGTTCAAACACTAGTGGGTGGAAATAAGACTCAGCTCTGTATATTAAAGATTCTGAGGGTGTAGCTTAGTGGTAGGATTCCTGCCTAGCATGAAGGAGGCCCTGAGTTTGATCCCCGACACCACACACACACACACACACACACACACACACACACACCCCAATTCTGTTCCTTGGGTATGATGTTCTGCTTGTGGAGAACCCAAAGACATGAAATTGGGATTCTTTTCTATTTAGAAAATAAAAATATGGTGCTCTTAGGCTAAAAAGAAAACCACCTTGGTACAGCTGGGTACATATAGGATTCACCTGAGATAATTCTGAAGTCTGGTGTGGTACCCACATGCATTGTAGACTAGTTACTTCCTCTAGGATCAAGCAAAGAACAGATCTTTATTTCACCATGACTACCAAATGGATTTTCAGACTGTATATTGTTAGAGCAGTTCATATCTTTATATCTTACACTGCTCTCTTCCTCAGTCCTCTGCTTCAGTTGAGAAGCCCCATGGCTACTGTTCCTTCAGGAAATTTCAGTCCCGGCTTCTACAAAGGAAATATTTCTCAGTCTCTTAAGAATGTACCAGGTTATGTTTACTGGCTCCATCTGCTCAGTCTGTGTCAGCTGCTGGGGGAAGAGAAACCAGCTCTCCTTTCTGGAGTGAAAGTGATGATGGCAGGTGCTCTATTTCCAGTTCAATTTCCTCATCAGAGAAAGCAGCCAATGATTTCCTAGTGACTTCATCCCCAAAATGAGCACAACTCAATCATTTTTGCCCCCTTAAGGACATTACATCCTAAGGTTAAAACACAAAACAAACATTCTCAGTTGCTGTTGATTTGGCTGTTCCTTTCAAAGGATACATCTTAGTTATTGAAGCATTCAGTCTTTCCTGGGCTTGTCCCATATTACGTCCTGGTTGTAAATTACTTTCATTTTTTTTTTTTGGTACTGGGGATCGAACTCGGGTCCTCGCGCTTGTGCAGCAAGTGGCGAAACCACTGAGCTAAATCCCCAGGTCCTCATTTCTTATAAATAAGGGGAAGCATGACCTCAAATTTAAAAAACTATTTTAAAAAAATTCTAAGTTTGCTCTGATCTGTCCTTACTGTCAACGAAAATTTTTAAGAGTAAAGAAGTTTCAAGGCATTTATGTTTTTAAAAGTTTGTGGAGGATATCATATGTACCCACAGTAAAGAAACATTTTACATATAAGGAGCAATATTACTTTGGAGCTAAACATCAGGTTTCTCCTTAAAGTACTGAATTTTTATTTTGAATGACCAAATTATATGTCTTAGTGCTCAGCCTCAAAGTGAAGAATTTCTCTTCTATCCCCAGAAGTTGCTGTAAGAAAAAGCGTTTTATAAACCTTAGGACCTGGGATGAGGGCTATAATTTTGACAGAAAGCAAGTAAATTTATTTCTCAGTCTTCAGCTAATATTAATACATACAGAGTAAAAGATGCAGAGCAAGAGTGAGAGGGAGAAGAAAATTGTCTGAGATGTTGGAGATAATGAGTATGTCTTTAACATAATGAGTATGTTGGAGTATATTGAGTATGTCTTTCTCTTGGTGATAGTATTATAAAATATTTCTGAAGGAAGGATTTTTTTTTTAACTTTTCCACTTTTCTTAACCAACCATATGTTACTATTCAGTTATAAAGGCCGTAAATAATTATTTTTAAGAGAAATAATGCATGTGAAAATCGTCATGCCAGAAATCTAGTATATGCTTAGTACACTAAGTCCTCTATTACCTCTGAAGAAAAGATAATTGCGCATACTTCCAGCAGGAAAAATACAAAGTGAGACACTCCAGAGCAGTAGGCTTCTATGACAGGATAGGGTGATCACCTCTGGCCTAAGCAACCAAAATTACATAAAGGAAGGGCCAGCGATTTAGCTCAGTGGCAACTGCGCTGCCTTGCAAGGGCAAGGTCCTAAATTCTATCCCCGGTACCAAAAAAAAAAAAAAAGAGAGGGAGAGAGACACTAAAATTATACAAAGGATTCTCCCATCAATTACTGTTCTAAGAGTTACATTTTTTGAAAATATCTAATCTGTATAAATTCTAGTATTAAATCTTTTTCCACCCAAACAACCATAGGACTAGACCAATCATTTAAGGGTCCTAAGAAAAAAGACCAAAGGCACAGAAGAAATTAAGAGGTATTTATTCATGAGAAACAGCTGAACTTTTGCAAGAGTGGGAGTTTGTGGTGTTCTTACCAAGGATATTTCCCCCTCCCCAACTCCTACTAGCTTGGTATTGCTACCAAGCTGGGATTGGCTATGGAAACCAGACATTTACTGCTGGCTTGCTTTGAGTAGAAACTAAGAAACCCATGTTTCAGCAAAAATAGGAAATTTTATTCGAAATAAATGGGTGATCTCTTGGAAAACAAAATGAAGGTGAACTAAATATATCCCCAAATTTAGAAAACCTTAGAAAATTCTTTGGTAGCCAGGGTCCCTTCAAGAACACTAAAGGAAGTACTTTAGGCCGAAAGGAGGTGGCATAGGTGGCAATTTGGATCCATAGGAAAAAATACGGAGCACCAGAAATGGTAAATATATCTGCAAATAAGACTGAGAAAATAGTTTTATCACTTCCTCTTTTAATCTCTTTAGAAGACCTAAAATGAAGATAATTAGATGAAGCTGTGTGGAATAGCTATTCATGCTGGGATTAGTGTCTATATAAGAAGAGAATGGTGAGCTTACTTGCCCTCTTTCTCTGCTATATGAAGGCATCTGTTGGCAATCCTGAACCCAGCCACCCTGGCAGCTCCCACCTTCCAACTGGGAGAATAAATGTTTGTTGTTTAGGCCACCCAATCTATAGCATTGTGTTATAGTAGCCTAAGCCAATTGAAACTGAAGATCTCAGTGATTTAGGAATATCTGTGCTTACTAAGTCATAATTAAGTTGATGTAATATTTATCTCTTTTGTTGTCACTGTTTCTTTCAAAAGAAGTTATGACAGCAATATACTATGTTAGGGGCACTTTAGCTTTGTCTAAAAAGTTACAAATTAGACCTAGTAATTTACAGCATGCAA